ATCAAATTAAGGCACACTTCCAAATTTTATCATAACACGTAAGTTTGGTGTAAAAAATTCTTAGGATTATCTTAAAATCTATTTTCATCTCTAATTATAAAATTTTAAACTCTAAAAATAGTTAAAATCAAGTAGATCTATAAACATATGAAAATGTATAAAATGGACGGTCTAGATAATGTGTTGCAAGATGCACTATTTTTGGGACTCAAAATCTTTTTTTTTTCACATTCATATATCTTGATGTTGAGATGATCAATTTAGGATTTTTTCAACATTAATCTGATGGATTTTTGAGGTACATCTTTAATTCTACATTCTAAGGTTGCAACTTTATATAAAATTTTTCGATTATATAACATAATATAAAAGAAAGATTATTACATATTTTTCATTCAATATATGTTACATATTATATAATAATCCAATATATCACATATTGTATAAATCATATATTACATATTATATATTATCTTATATTATTAAAAAAGAAAATTTAAATCTTAAAAAAAAGATGTTTAAATTAATGATAGGTATGATTCAACTCATTTAAAATAACTTATATATTATTCTAATAAAAAGAACAATATAGTTTCCTAGGTTTTTAGTTATTGACGTTCCTGCTAAAACCATCTTTCTGGTGTATTTACAAATACAATTAAACAACATACACAACATGTGCCCCTAGTAGTGATCCTTAAATACGTGTAACGTGGCATGTTCACAAACCAAAACTTGGGGTTTAAAATATTGTCTAATATGTTCCCTTAAATCCAACCTGAAATAAAATTACTTAATAATATTTAGTAAATCTAAAATTTAGGGATACATGATTATATCAATATTTAAAAATAAAATAAATGAATTTTAGATTTTAAAAATTTAAAATAGAATTTTTAGTTGATATATCATGCACGTGAGGGAACATAAAATTAAATGATATTTTATATGTTTATATGAACGTATAAAGTCTTACGTGAGTGCCAACGGAACATATGTAAATCACTAAGGATTTGGTGTCACACGTGATATAGAAATAGATCGTGAGGTACAATTGTTGATGATTGACACGTAGACGCCACTCTATTGGTGTTTTATATATTAGTGGGATTACGGACGTTGCACATAAAAGAAAAAATAAGTAATTACATAAATAATTACTTAAATATGTAATTAAGAGTATGCATATATGTTTCAAGCATTTATGCAAATAATTTTGTAATATGCGATAAAATAGTATATTGATATGCGTTAAGCGATCACCTAAATAATTACATGTTTTCCGATGGAAAAGTGCATTATATGTAAACTTAGTTTTCATAATATCAAAATTCATGTCTAAAAATGGTAATACATGAATTACTACATTAATATTAGTAAAATGGTAATAAAAATAAATACATATTGAACTATTTATAATTAGAAACATATAATTGTGATATTCATGAAAAAATCATAGTTACTTTGTTATTATTTTATTAGTAATATGTTATAACTACTAAAACCATCGTCAGGTTAAATTAGTCTATTTTTTTTTTAATTATAAATTTTAATATATAATTATATTTAATTTCAAATATAATTTTAAAGAATTTGAGTTTTTAGAAGTATGGTCATAAAATTTGTACATTTTGAAATAAATATTAAAAAATAACATGTATTTGACACTTTAAAATATCTCTCTTAAAATATCACTCGTATCACAAGAATAAAGTGGGACCCTAATGTTAAATAGAAGATATGGTGAGGAGCCTCAAGAATTAGGGTACGGTTCTTAAGGGGGAGATTATAGAAATTCATGAGAAATGCTAAATTTAAAGAGAGACAAAGTTTCCTTTTTGTAATTTAGAAAAATAATCCCAAAAAAGAATAGGTATATCTAGAGAGAAAAATTCTATATTATAGGTGCATATCTAAAAAAAATAGAGAGAACTCTAAAGAGAGACTTTCTAAAAAATATTGTGTGTAGAGATATAGAATAAAGGCAAAAGAAATCCTAAATTTTAGAGAGATGCACGGTTTCTCTTTTTGTATCTTTGAGAAAGATATAGAAAGGGGAAGGCATGCACTTCTTTGAAATATTGCATGCAACATTCTAGGGGAATATTAACCAAATGAGAAGCACTGACTGAAACGTTTCAGGAACCAAGCAATTGATCGTGAAAAGAGAAACGTTTCAGGAACCAAGCAATTGATCCTGAAAGAGAAACGTTTCAAGAACCACACACTGAAAACCAGGCACTGAAACGTTTCAGGAACCAATCACTGAAACCAAGCCGGGCGTAAAATAGAACATTGTTTTCCATTAATATCAGAAGAGATCATTCTTCCCATGAATCCATTAATATCCGAAGAGATCATTCTTCCCATGAATTACTAATAGAGAGCGTCATCCACCACAGACTCGACCTGAGCATGGGCCATATGACTATATCATGGCCATACGACCATATCCTTTTTCTCTACGAGTAATTACCAAATGGGTGCGGTAAATTGCAACCTCAAATAATCCAATTAAAGTGCACCTCCAAATTTTATCATGTAATTTTAGTGTAAATTATTTTTAAGATTATCTAAAAATATATTTTTATATCTAATTATTAAATTTTAAACTCCTAAAATGATTAAAATAATATAGATCTATAAACATGTTTAAAATCTTGAATATGGACAGTCTAGACAATATGTTGTAAGATGCACTATTTTAAGGACTCAATCTTTTTGTTTATACATTCCTACATCTCGATGTCGAGATGATCAATTAGAAAGTCTTTCAATATTTAAACAACCTTTTTCGATGGATTTTTGAAGTATATATGTAATTCCACATTTTTAAGGTTGCAACTTTATATAAACTTTTCCCTTACTAAATTCTAAGATACAAGAACAACATCATGTAAATCTTAATAAACATAATAAACATGATACCTGATAAATACCGCCAACAACTACCCTTAGAAACTCACAACCCAAATACAGCCAACAACTACCCTTTGAAACTCACAACCCAAATACAGCCTACAACCACCCTTTCAAACTCAACCCACAACCACTCTTTCAAACTCACAACCCAAATACAAACTACCCTCTCAAACTCACAAAAGTACCCTTCGACCATTTTGTTGGAACTCAACCTTTCAAATTCACAAAAGTACCCTTCGACCATTTTGTTGAAACTCACAACCCAACCCTTCCACCATTTTGTTGAAACTCAACCCACAAGGCAGACCACCACAACAAAAGTACCCTTCAACCATTTTGTTGAAACTCACCCTTTCAAATTCACAAAAGTACCCTTCGACCATTTTGTTGAAACTCACAACCCTACCCTTCCACCATTTTGTTGAAACTCCCAACCCACAAGGCAGACCGCCACAACAAAAGTACCCTTCAACCATTTTGTTGAAGAGACAGACAACACTCAAAACTGTTTCCATTAAAGCATGGCCATATGACATACGACCATATCCTTTTCTTTACGAGTAATTACTAAATTTTAAGATACAAGAACACCACCATGTAAATCTAAATAATCATGATAACAGTTACATGATAAATACAGCCAATAACTACCCTTTCAAACTCAACCCACATGCCAGACCACCACAACAAAAGTACCCTTTCACCATTTTGACCATTTTGTTGAGGAGAGAGAATACATTTTGTTGAAGAGAGAGACAACACCAACTTGTAAGGATGGTCCGAAATATACCCACCATAGCACACCAACTTGTAAGGATAGTCCGAAATATACCCACCATAACTTGATAGTCCAAAATATACCCACCATAGCACACCAACTTGTAAAGGTAGTCCGAAATATACCCACCATAACTTGCAAGGATAGTCCGAAATATACCCACTATAGCAAACTAACTTGTAAGGATAGTCCGAAATATACCCACCACAGCAGCATAGGGTGAACTTTCTTTGATAAGCAAACCTCCAGTTGAAAACAACCACTCTCTAACCCAAAGACGCACCAGTCAAAGCCTTCTAAGAAGACAGTGCCTGCTCAGAAGGCAAGGTTGCCTGCTCAGAAGACATTCGAAAGTACTCCAACAATGACCCAGCCTTCCTTTTTGCCCTCACTGTCCCACTCTCTGCCAACTCTCTCACAGCCTCTTCAGCCCCCAGCTCTCGTGCTAGGCTCAAATGTTGTGCATCCACAGTACACAATCCCAACAAAATAGAAGCTGCATTCTCTCTATTCCTTGGTGACCCAGTCCTCAAGAACTCGACCAACATAGGCACAGGCTCTGCCTGCCCAATAGCTGCCTTCCCCTCAGGATGGGTGACCAATATCGCCAAAATCGCTAAGGCCTCATCCACCATTCCACCACCAGGGTCCATCAATAATCTCATCAAAGGCATCACCACCCCAGCTCTCACTGCTCTCACTTTGTTCCCCTGGTAAATACATAGATTAAACAATGCCGTAGCTGCATCTTTCTTCCCTCTGGGACTTCCTTTACAAAGCAAATCCACCAATGCTGGGATTGCCCCTGCCGCCCCAATAGCCACCTTGTTATCATCCACCACGGAGAGGCTAAATAGGGTTGCAGCTGCATTTTCTCTTGCTTCCATACACCCACTTTTTAGCACATCAACTATGTCGGGTATAGCACCAGCCATGACTATACTTCCCTTGTTGCTATCGTTGATGGAGAGATTAAGGAGAGCTGTCACTGCATGTTCTTGGGTTCGGGGATCAGGTGATGAGAGAAGGTCGACTAGCAAGGGAATGGCCCCAGCTTTGGCTATGCAAACTCGGTTATCAGCGTTTCTCTTGGCTAGCAAGCGAAGCTCACCAGCAGCTGCCCTTTGTTCCTCTTGGTTCGTGCTTGTTAGCTTTTGCAACAGGTTTTCGATAGCTGCTCGGTCACATCCTGAAGTAGATTTTCCACTTTGGCAAGCTGCTGCTCTTTTTGGGAGCTCGACACCGTTGTTTTCGCACCATTGTGCGATGAGGCTCCTGAGGACATAGTTGGGGGTAAGGACAGTGTGTGGTAGCATTTGTTGGGTCTTGGGGCAAGTCTGGTGACCGGCGTCAAGCCATTTCTGGATGCATGATTGCTCGTATGTCTACATTGCAAAGGGAATAGGAACGAAGTTAACAAATTTATTAGCTTGGTCTATGAACTCTATGCAAACATTAACACCAACACATTTTTTCAAAGAGCAATCCAGTGTAAATTCTATAGACAAACAATTTGAATTGTTGATTTGTCTCCAACAGCTGTATTAAATACTCGGCTCAGCCGTGGCACTTGGCCACTGGCAGGGGCGAGTCTTAGTTGACTCGGCCAAGTCTGCACACCCAAATAAATAAGATAAAACTTCTGCCAATTTTGGTTAGAATCAGGAAAAAATAATGATAAACAGCAGAAAAACCATCTAAAAAATGAGAGGAAGTTCTCCAAAAATAAAAAACTCCTTTAAAATCATATTCCACAAAAAAAGAGAAAAAATAGAAAAATCATAAAAAAGGTAAAACCATAAAAAAGTACAAACAAAACTACTGGGCTTGGCACCCTGCCAAGCGCGAACAACTGGATTGAAACATTATAATCAACTAAAATGCTATTAATACATCTTTCAAAAAAAAAGAGAAAAAATAGAAAAATCATAATTTCATGAACCATAAAAAAGTACAAACAAAGCTAAATATAAGTTAATCATAATTGATTTAATCTTTTTTTTTTGGGGGAGGGGGTGGGGGATTGGGGGAGTGGCTTCGGCCTCAGCACCCTGCAAGCCCGAGCAACTGTACTTGTGCAGTGCATTTACACTAGCTTCATCAATTTTTTCCTTAGAAATCTAACTGTATGCTAATTTCTTCTTTATGTTTTGCTTAGTCCATTTTTTTCATTTTACATCCCTTCAGTGACGCTAATTCAATCCTTTGTACCATTTCATGTTTGGGGAAGCAAAGGAGAAGGCTGGTCCAAGAAGGGTCAATTGTGTGTCTATTCATTTACAAAGTTAACCTTTCTCAAAAAAAGAAAGGTCAATTGTGTGGTGATTGATCTTTTTGGCTAGCAAATGTACCTTTTTTCAAGAGAGGAGCAAAAGAGTTTTTCTAAAACGTTAATTACAGCAAGGGATCCTATGATGTTTTTTTTTTTTTTGAGAAAGAATAGTCTGCCATGATGTTATTGCCTAGCATTACAAGTAACATGTCATTATTGATACAAAATGAACTTAGGCCAAGGCAATTTGAGATGTTGTCTGGAGATGCGTCAAGCGATTCATTGGGGATGTGAGACTTGTTGCCACTTCAGGAATCGATCCTATTGCAATAATATTCTCATAGAATAATGCAATGCTTTTCGTATAGGTGGAAGGCCTCATGTTAGGACTGACAATAGGCTTGGAAGCCTGGCAAGGCTACCCCCCACCCCTCCTTGGCCGGCCCCTGGAAAACTAGGGCCTGGGCTAGAAAATGTGCCCCGCGAGGCTGGTCTTGGGACAAGGCCACAACCACGCCCACCATACCTGACCCGGCCCTGTGCTGATTTTTATCTTGTTTTTTTATTTTATTATCTTTGAATCTAGTAAGCCAGGCCCGGCCAAGCACCCTCGGCCCTGTCCAGGCAAGGCTCTGGCCAAGATCGGTCCAGCCTGTTGCCAACACTAATCAATGTTATCAGGTGGGTGTAGACAATGCCCATTACTATGATTGTTGGTAAATATTCTAGACAAGGTCTAGGTGCCAACCACTGCCAACAGAAGGTTGGTTTCTTTTCGTCATACACTTTGGAAAGTAAATTCTAAGGCCATATCATCAGCCTGCAATGACATACAAAGGGATCCCTCGTTGATTGTATGATTTCTCTCACCATCATGAGAGCCATTGTTCATTGTCCCTCCCCTCTCTGTACTTCCTTCAAGCCCCATCCTTCTTCCCCTTTATTTCCTCTTTCCCAGCTTCTCCGTTTCTTACAACCCCCTTACGCTCTCCTTTGCATAAGTATAAATACCTTACTGTTTCTTTGCATTAAGTGAAACTTGATGCACACCGCTTTAGAGCCCCATGTTGATTATTATAATCATCATCATCAGAGCATTTTCTCAACTATTTGGGGTCGACTACACGAATCTTGGTCTGTCATTCTGCTCTATCAAGGGTCACACCCTTAGTGAGGTCATAAATTCCTATATTTTTTCTCAACACTTTTAAATATGTCCTTTTGGGCCTACCCTTGCCCTTTTGAGCCTTCCAATTGAGCTAACTCGCACCTCCTAACTATTGGGTCCATGTTGCACATGGATAACTCACGTAAGTCTACTATCTCTCATCATATTGCCTATTGGAGCCACACCTAAGTTCTCCAAAATGTATTAATTTTGAATTCTTTACGTTCTTGTCTTGCTACTCATCCATCTCAACTACACTCATCCTATGGGTATGTTGTTTCTTGACCACCCAACATTCCACCCCATAAAGCAAAGTTGGTCTCACAGCTATACTGTAGAACTTGCCCTCCAGCTTCATTGGTATGTGAAGATCACATAAAACTCTGATTGCACATCTCCACGTCGTCCACCTAGCTCTAAATCTAGGTGCGACATCTTCCTCAAACGCTCTATTTTCCTGGATTATTTAACCAAATATATCAAAAGTGTACTCTTTTTGTATTTCTTGGCCTCCAATCTTAACTACCTAATAAAACTATAAAGAGTATAATAATATTTACCAGCCACTAACAAAATTTGATTACTTGAATGAAAAAAAAAAAAAAGACTCCTATAATCTGCTAACAACAAAATATAACTGTATTTTTGAAACTTTTAATCATATTCTATTTTATCTCTTTTCCTTTATGCTTTGTTTCTGTTCAGTAATGAAACAAGAGGATTATGATTTTCTTCTTTGTCTTCCTATTATTCAGTATCCCTTTCCATAAACTACTGATTTCAGTTGTTTTTCTATAAACTGGAATGCACATTAGAACAACCAGTTTTACTACAAACACAATTTTTCGTTATAACTAGGAGGGTTACATCCTGTTTTGTGAAAGAAAAGATTAGATTAATATTGAATGGTTGATTAAGGTTATCTAACAGCAAATGCAACTCATGCAAAATTGCTCGAAAACATAATCAGTGAATCACTTAGATCATTATGTTTTTATCATATGAGCACTTCATGCATCAAAAGAATAGTCAACGCATGGTTAAACTAATTTGAATTCAAACCTGTCCTGTGGCAACTATGACTGGGTCTCTCATCAATTCAAGAGATATTGGGCAGCGAAAATCATCAGGGATGACAGGGGATCTGGTTTTCTCCATGCTCTTCTCGCTTTCAGAGGCTTCAGTATCTACATTCTCAGAGAGTACATAGTCCTTTAACTTTTTCAGCAAAGCCGACATCTCTTCAAAAGTTTCACCAGGGTCTCCCCCACTAGAAATAACCATATCATGAAGGGCATGTGACTCTTTCTTGAGATCATTAATTGTTTTTAGTTGAAGTGATTCTGAAAGCCGTTTTAAAACAGCTGGATCAGTCTCTTTTTCATTTCTTGCTGTGGAAAGATCCATGTATAATTGCATATCAGGTATGTCCATCCTTCCTTTTGCTCTTTTAAATTGCGCATGCACTAGTTCAACCTGGAGATTACAGATGGATTATCACTCGTAGTAAGTTAAAAATTCAATTCTAGCTGCTATAATAACATTAGTTCAAGGTTAATTTCAATTCTATGTGCCACAACAAGACTGCTTCATTTCATTTAAAAGTAATTAGAACTGTTGATAAAATAGTACCTGTTCTCGAACTTCATCTGATACATCAAGTTTATCATAAGAAATCCCATTTAGTGCCTGCTCCAGCTGGGCTGTCACCTCGTTAAATTTGTTCATGATATCCTCCCTTTCTAGAGCCTGCAACAAATAAATACATTGTTAAAGTAATGCAAGTATATAGGGAAAGAATCAGCTTTCACAAGATAATTAGCCTGCTTTACATCTAATATGATGGTTCCGAATATATGCAGCGCTGCAACAATTAAATAACCATATATGGTTTTTTTAATGAAAAATAGCCAAATATACCAAACCCTTGCTTAGGAAAATACTTTGAAGTTTGACAGGTATCAAACAATTGACAACCAGATCCCAAGCACACTAGAGCTGTATCCAAACCCTTGCGCATAGAAAACTATGCATGAAAGGCATCAAACAATAGACAACCAGATCCCAAGTTAATCCATGGACTCCCTTCCTCCATCCCTCCACCCCAAATCCAGCCCCCCCCCTCCCTCCAGCACGCACATGCATTCACACAAAGAGGTAGTGTAGATGAAAATAGAGCCTAAAAAGTGAACACTAACGCTATATACAGCCAATTGGGTGGAAGTAGATATGTGCAACTTGGATTCCCTCCATCCGTCAAACACGGGTTTGCACTTACACACAGAGGCACGACAGATAAGAATAGAGCGTAAAAGTGAATCATCATGCTATGTATCGCCAATTGGGTAGACAGAGATCTGTAAAATGGGGATTCAAAGTCACCCTAACCTCAAAATAGTTTAAATGCCACTTGAAATTTTTACAGTGGCATTCCAAGTGAGGCAGACTTGCCCAGTAAAGCATATTCTACTTACTCAAACAACTACATTCAGTGGCACATGCGTGGCATCACAATTGTGGTATAGACTTCCAAAAAGATCTTCTATCTGGGCATATAAGATAACCACAAATCACTGGTTACTATTGTCCTTCTTGCAGTGTACTTTTTTGCGTTCCACAAAAATATGCAATTTCCAGGAATTCATGGTTGTTCCAGAGGAGCTCTAAGTCTTAAGATAGACTTTGTGATTACTGAAGCGAATCATGAGAGAGAGAGAGAGAGAGAGAGAGAGAGAGAATATTTTCTTTTATTCATAGTTAGTAGCGACAGACCACATTCATTGTTGACAATTGCTCAACAACAAATATTTGGCTTTTGGACCTTGGTTATCTAGAAACACTCCCCCTTTTCCCCAACTATCACACTGATTAGATGGTACCCAATAATGTAATCAGATGTGTGAATCTGTGAAATCCTGTGACTGAGATCGAATCAATTTCTCCAACCTGATTTTGGCAGTCCGTGATGTCCTATAAATTCCTTTAAAAAGTGGGGAACAATAAAAAATAAATTAAAAATGCTTGGCCACAATTTTTAAAACTATTTTTCTTAGATAACCTTCAAAAACAAAATTCGTCATAAAACAATTTGCCATGCATTGATCAGAAAACCAAACGCTACAGTTTGCTATTCCCAAACTAGGTCCTCCTGATGCTGCAAAATCTTATCTTTGATTACAAAGGTGCATACCTATTGAACACCCAAAACCAAAAGTCACCTAAATATTAAGGTTTTACTCGGATTGATCTCCATTAATAGATACGGAGTCGATCAGTTCATTTTATTTTTGAAAGTTAAACCAATGAACTCTTTTTCTTATTTCTAAAAGCTAAATCAATAAAATACATCCAAAGCTGCAAAACAGTTATCCTTCACATTTTTTTCATCAAACCATGAGAATATTCAATAAAAAGCTACCCATTTCAACGAAACAAAATTCGTTTCAAGAAAAAAAAAAGAAACAAAAAAAGAGAAATTTGGATACCTGATAGAGCTTACTCCCTTCATGCCAAAATCTTAGAAGCTCCTCGGCCGATAACAATGAGTTCTTTAGAGAGACAAAAGCTGTAACTGATTCATCGTTGAGGGTCTCACTACTCTCCTTCAACTCTTCAAACAGAGGACCCAATAGCTTCACTCTCCTCACCAGATTGTAATACTGTTTCCTCCATGGATTTCTCCATTCTGGAAGCTCTGAGATCTCCTTAACCAAATCAATCAAAGACTGCACTATATCTTCTCCTTCTTCGCTCCCCATCATGAAGGTATACAAAGGGCCTCACAGGCTGTTGCAAAATGTCCAATAAGAAAAAACAATCTGCAATAGATTTTGGCCTGCAATGGTCCCTTGTTTTGCAGAAGAAAACCCAAAAACCAAATCGCTGGAACTTGCAGGAAAAAAACAATACAAATTATGTATAGGACTCTCCTCTGATACTAAACCAGGAAATTAACGCCTCAAATTACAAAGAAGAAACCTGTAAAGAGAACCCTTTTCTTGAGGTCAGCACCCTTCAAGCTGAGAAGAACCCTAAAAAGATTGGCTACTTATTTTAGAGAGAGAAAATCAGAGAAAATAGAAAGTCTTGGGTTACCGAGAACCCTAGAGGAGGGAAAGGAAAAGGGTTTTGAGAATTTGCTCTAGATTCAGATAGATAGGAGAGAGAAAGATTCATATGATCGCATGAAATGAAAGGTCTCCGCTCGGACAATTCCTAGAGAGAGAAAATGCATATTTATATTAAGAAAATCAATAATAATAATAATAATAAAAAACAAGACCACGATTCTATGAAATTCCTTTTTTTTTTTTCAAAGTACTACAAAATAACACATCAAAATTAAAAAAAAAAAATACTTAAACTACACTTTTTACTTTTACCATATCGAAGTATCTCTTCTCTAGCCCACCAAAACAGGGCTCGAGTATTGTGTAAATGCAATAGCGCACTAAAATCCGACAGTAGATGTTTGCAGTTCGACCGGCAATCCAACTTATTGGATTCCAGGGTTCCTGTATTGTATAAAAGATAGTTCGGCAATATTCAGTTTTGGTCTTCATTTTAGGGCGACAATATGGTAGTTATCTTTAGGTAAAGAGCAATTAGAGCTATGTTTGCAATTTGACCTTTGTAAATGGTAGTTATCTTTAGGTAAAGAGCAATTAGAGCTATGTTTGCAATTTGACCTTTGTAAAGGGCAGTCCAACAGTAAATGTCATTGGATTTCAAGGCTCCAATATTACGTAAGTAACAGTCTCATAGTACTCCGTTTTGGTATTGATTTTGGTATTTAAATTTATATAAAGTGCGGTTAGACAATAAATGATGCGCTCCTATAATACGCTACTAAGTTCTAATAAATCTCACCAAAATGATTTTTGAGAATAAAAAAAGGTATTCCGTCTAGAAAATGATTTTTTTTTTAGATTTGGAAAGACTCGGAATCTTAGACCTTAGGTTAGGCTCCGACCAGTGTTCCGAGTTCGGTTACCGTCACAAAATAAGCAAGCAACACCCGTAGATTTTACGACAATTAGCTCATGCAAGAAATAAGACGCAAGTTTTATCACTAAAAAAAAACCTTGGGGAAACTATATTTTATGGGAAAATCCATTGATTAATCTTTTGACATGTGGACATTATCTTTTCTATTTGATTAGATGTAGGATGTCGGTAATACTTTGTTAGATGCAAACTATGTCCCTCTCAATTGCCTGATATTATTTTTATTAATTTTTATGAATTTAAATCGATTCAGCCAATCCGGAATACCATATCAGTACAATGCATAGGCTATCCAGAAGGTGATTCCAGAGTTGTGAAACAATAATTAGATGATTTGGAATTCAAAAAAATGCTTGAAAAAATGATTTATAATTGCATAAACATTTGAAAAAATAATCCTTGACTTTTGGATAAATAATTAACAAGGTGGAGGGAACTATTGCCTAAGTTAAATTTCAAATTTCTTAGAACACCCCTAAAATATCAGTCAATTGATTGAGCCATCCTCGGAAAATGACCACGGTATTTTAGTAGTTTCCCGGAAAGTCAAGTGCAGCGCCACTTTAGTCTTCGCATTTTATTACGCACTTTGACCGACGCGTATTGAGGTGGGCCGCGTCAGGACTTCCACTTTCGATGAGAGGGTCCACGTGAAATAATTGTAAAGAAATAGTCGCATTTGGCCACTAATAACGCGTATTTATAGCGTATTTCTGCGGGAGCACATCGTACATTTTTGGGAAATTTTCATACGAAAGTTAGTGATCCACTTTAGGATCACTGGATCAGTATCTTGGAAAAATAAATTTTAAATTTTAAGTTTATAAATACCTAGATTTCACCGATGATCTATATTTCAATATTTATATATATATATATATGTTTCAATCATCATCATAACTTTTCCCAATTACTTGTGACCGGTTTTATATCACGTTTTAATATTTAAATGATATTTTTATATTTTTATTTTGTTTCTTTAGTTTTTAAAGTTGATGGGAAAAAAAATAACCCCAAAAATGAAGATCCTAAAAAGCAGTCTTTGATAAAGGCTTCATGCTTTAGGAGTGAGTGTGGGATATGCTAGGAGGGAGCATAAAAACTTTTGGCATGCCGCAAGCACCTTTCAAAGATGGGAAAAGTTTATATAAAACCGAGACTCTAAACAATCAAATTTGAGCCTACATCAAAATTTTCACTTGAAGAGGTTCTTTTGATGCCCAAATGCCCTCAAATTGTTCATCTCAACATCAAGATGCATGGACATGCAAAAAAACTGGATTTCAAATCTTGGAAATCGCGTATTTTGTAACGCATTTTTGGACCGTCAATTTTCAAGATTTTGAAGTTTTCATGGATTTCTCAATTTACACTATTTTTTAAGCTTTAAACTTTATAAATAAAGATGAAAATATATTTTAAGGCTATCAAAAAGATTTTCAATATTGAAGACAGTTTTCGACACTATTTGAAGGTAGGCTCTAATTTGATTGTTTAGAGGCTAGGCTTTATGCAAACCGCACCCTTCAAACATTATGTGGAATTCTCACCACAATCGTGGAGTATCTAATTTTCCATTGGTTAGGGAGTTAAAAAGAAGAGTAATGATCCTATGAGACCCTCTCACACCCATATATATGGGACCCCAAAGGATCTCTATTAAATATGATACAGATCTCTAGAAAAGTCAAGTCCCACATTTATGTGATAACTTTTCTAGAGATCTGTGTCAAATTTAATGGTGATCCTTTGGGATCCTACATACATGGGTGTGGGAGGGTCTCATAGGATCATTACTCTAAAAAGAACTATACATGGATAAATGATTATTCGGAAGAAGAAAAAGAAAAAATGTATAGTTTGCCACGCCCTAGGGCATTGCAAATTGGTTCGCTCAAACTAGGGCATTTGCCACAAAAAATGGCGTTCAGCTAGGGTTGGGATTGGATTAGGGCCGCCGGGCCAACTGTTTCTAATTTTGCTTATCCGAACGCCAGTCCAGACAAAACCGGGGCCCTTTTGACATAATCAAGGCTAGCCCCCCCAGATTAGGCCCAAGCCTAGGGGCAATCGGTTGGCCCAGTTCTATAACAATAAGGCATATTCCACAAAATGTAGCTCGAGGGTCAGCTAGGTGTGGGATTGGGCTAGGGCCACGTTAGCCAGCTGACCTTGCTCCATTATTTTTGCACTTTTTTTTTCCTTTTTCTTTATTTTTAATTAGGCTCAGCCCGGCCATGACCCTTTTTGCTTGGTCAAGGCTAGGCCGGCTTAGGGCCAACCCTATGGGGACCCGAGCTAGGTCCATCCTTGGCCCTGCCCATTTGTAGACACCTCCCTCCAAATTTCAGCTAAAGAAGCTCTTAAAAACCTCGATTCTGAGTCCAATGATCACACAAACCTTAGTACCCTCTAGGCAACCTAGACCCAATAAAAGTATCCCAAAATTGCCCAAAACTTATCCCAAGTTGAAGTAGAACCTGAGATCGAGATCTTTTCAACGGTCAAAGAATCACCCAAATCGGACTTATGATTAAATAGATCCAGAACATGACAATTTGGTCCATGTACCACCCAAATGTCGAGCCTCGGGGTGGGCCATGCCGCGACCCGACAGGCCCAAACACGACATGATGATGCAGTAAACGTGTTTTTTAATTTGATAAAACCAAAAAATAAAGATAAATCCAAAAAAAAACAAAAAAAAAAATCCCCACTTGAAGCCTATAAATACTCCTCTCTAGAACCCAAAAGGAGAGATAAAAAAGAAAATAGGACATAATTCCTGGAATTAGTAAAAATAGCCTAAAATACCCAAAACTAGAAAAAAAACCTTAGTAAATTTCTAAAAAATTAAGAAAAAGTCCAAACAATCCTTAAAAATCCTAGAATTCGTATTTGATTTTAGAAGCCCTCAGAAAAGCCTAGGTAGACCCTACCTAAAATTTTTCAGCTTTTTCCCTACCTTAGGAACCCTATATCTATGTCAAAGAACCTTAGATCTACCAATTCCAACTAGCAAAAGGCATCCAAAAAAGTAACGGGTGATGCTAATTAGAAGAGCAGCCTGATCCAAGCCCAAAACTCTAGGTTTCGGATCCCTAGAGCTAATTATTTATTTTTGTGTGTAATTTAATTTTATTTCTTCATTTAATTCTTTGTTATGTGTTATTTATTTTTGGAAATTAATTTATTACTATATTTATTTAAATTGAAAAGTGTTTTTTAGTCAAAATATGGAATTGGAGTTGACGCTGCCAATGGACCCAAGAAATAATCAGATCTGAATAGATTTTTGTTATTATTAGGCCCATAATTCAAGTGACCCTACTTTCTCTACTTTTTAAAATTTAACTCAGTTTTGCAAAGATTTGAGCAGATCGGAGCATAAACACCATGATCTTCTCACCCTTTGGTCAACATTCCATCCCCTTTAGTCGTAGGTGCTCGTTCTATTTTGATTTGAATGGGCTAGATCTCCCGAAAACAGTAAATATGGCCGGCCCCTCGAGTGTCTCGGTGATACAAGCAAAGAAAAGATGAATTCCAATTACCGACCAATCCTTATTGTTAGCCCTACATGCTTACATAGAACTCACATGAGAGGTAAACTACCTTTTTGGTAAAAGATGCAGTGATTAATTATTATGAAGGTCCAACTGGTTCATTTGGAACTGAGAGTGTACTCTTAATTAGGTGGCATTGAATGGACCTAGGCCTTGATTAGAATCACAGCTAGATGATCTAGGCTGAAATTGGTAGGTGGGTTGGGGTGGCAATGGCCAGGTCATAAGCTTGATTCCAAATTGTAGAGGAGGTCATAAGCTTTCCAACGGTTTAAGAATCATTCAAATCCGACACAATGTTTGAAAGTTATGGCTGGAAGAAATTTGTTTGACAAAATTCCAGTTTAGTTCAACGATACGATTCACATCGTTTGGCCTAGTGGACTAGACAATTTGGCTATGATTTTTTACCCAATCTAACCTAAGAAACCTAATCTGCCTAAGGCCCTAAGCCTATGTAAAACCCACTAATCTTGCATAGAAAATGATACCAAAAAATTATAGGAAAATCTTTATAAAATCCCCAAAATTTCCAAAAAACATAGCAAAACCTTAGAAAAATCGTAGAAATTGTTTAGAAATTAGAGAAACAAAAAATACAAGGAAAATTTCCAAAAATCCCTTAAATTTGCCTAAACCTTAGAAGC